ACATAGGCCTCTGCACCACACATAGGCCTCTGCACCACACATAGGCCTCTGCACCACACATAGGCCTCTGCACCACACATAGGCCTCTGCACCACACATAGGCCTCTGCGCCACACATAGACTTTGGGCTTTGCATTCTCAAATTACGAGCCCTGGCAATCCCTGCCAGTGAACATTCTAATTTGACATTAAAGACTTATTTGTTGAATTCATTAGTTTGAAGCAAGTGGTCTTAATTGTGCTGCACCCAATTAAAAATCAGTCTCACATAGAATACATGACACGCAGTAAACTACTTGCATGGGAACGAATCTTCACAAATCGAGTCGTCACGAAACAGAATGCAGATATGAACAAAGATTTATTATTATTATCCAAACATTCTGTTTAAAAATTACTAACTCCAAACTAATTTGCATCTCCCAACCACGAAATCACAAATTATCATGCCCGAAGTTTATTCTTCCTTGAACGTGAAATTTTTTATTCATGTGAGGAATTTATTTACTGAAGAATTTATTTCATCCAAATTAAAAATTTCATCGAATAGGTTTCATCTCTCCTATTGAGAATCCTAATCAATAGAACTATTTAGTGTGCGACTTGATATGCTTACATTACAAAGTAAGTATGCTACTATTTGGTGAATATGAATATATCAATATAATATTTTTTACTGATTAGACTTTAGCACCAATCCGAGTGGACAGTAGTTGAGACCGAAATACCACCGTGCAATAATTTGACTATTTCATTAATAACATATTTCGCGTTCTTTTCTCTTGTGCTAAAATTCTTAATTCGGCTACAGGTATGCGAAGAGTTTTCTCCTGGGCTAGCGACGTGCGTGCCAAGTAGTACTGCCACCACATGCGCATGTACAAGTAACATGTGCGACCCGTACTCACCATCCTATGCTGCCGCATGCAACGCAGGAGCTCTAGACAACATAGTCGACTGCGCCACGGAGGCAGGGACACAAACTTGCGCCTACGGTCTGTGCATCGATTGTACGAAGGCTTCGGGGGAATGGTACATTGTAACTCCAGACTGCAACGCTGGTTACCTATGCGTTTCAGGTTCCTTGGCGGCTACTCAACAATGTAAAGAGAATGAATACTTGACCTCTGAGGGAAAGTGTGAATCTGCTCCTCCACCGCCTTGCCTTGATTCCTGCTCCCGCAACTGTCCAGATCCCACGAACTGTAAGCAATATTACTACTGCGATGGCGATGGAGGGGTTCTCAGCGGCCCTTTTACTTGTGATCCCGATGAATATTTCGACACCGCAACCAAGCAGTGCGCAAAGGGAGACTCAAGCGTTTGCGATCCTCTGACCCAATGTGCTTTTGCTCAACCGTTAAATGATACTCTTTCGCCGCGCTTTTATTGACCGCCAAACAGTCAGCGCTGCCGACATAACTGAAGGTGAGACTACTTCTTTATGTGAATGTGAAACCACTTCTTTAGGTGAAGGTGAGACCACTTCTTTGGGTGGAGGTGAGACCTCTGCTTTAGGTGAAGGTTAGACTGCGTCTTCAAGTGGAACTGAGACCACTTCATTAGGTGTGGTGTGGGTGATACCACTTCTTTAGGGGAAGGTGAGACCACTTCCTTAAGCGAAAGTGGATCCACTTTTTAAGTGAAGTTGAGACCATGCACTTCCTTTAAGTGCAGGTGTGACCATGCACTTCATTAAGTAAAGTTGAGACCACTTCTTAAGATAAAGTTTAGAAGACTTGTTTAGGTGCAGGTGAAACCTCTTCTTTAGATGAAGGTAAAGCAACTTCTTTAGTTAGGTTCAGGTGAGGCTTCTTCTCCAGGTGAAGGTGAGATCATTTCTTTAGGTGCAGATGGCACCTCTTCTTAAGGTGAAGGTAAGACCATTTGGTGAGATGGAGTTGAAACCACTTCTCCAAATAACGTGCGCTCAAATATTCTCAAAATAATATATATTTATATAAATATTCAAATAAAATTCCTTTGTTTGCAGCCATTAATTAAAGAATTGTCCAAATTATCTTCATCATCTTATATCAATCATTATATTTTGAACAGATGTAGCAAAGTCGACTACAGGGGGATATAGAAGCAGCCGCTCCATCGCAGTAAAGTTGAATCGAGAGGCTGCACCAGAAATTTCCAGGAGCCATTGATGCCCACAAAATTCAGAAAACTATTCACAATAAAGCTACATATACCTACATTCTTTTATTTTCAATGCATGTAACTATTTTTAAGATGGATACGTTTTACCTACCTTTCATCCTTCACGGGCGCATGGACCTTATAATATTATAATTCAGATTCAGAATTTATAAGTAATACAACCGCTGTTCTCCAAAAACGAGGGATGGGTGGCAGTGTTCCAATGAATTAGCTAAAAAGTATTTCGTCTCGACATTATTTCGTCTCGGCGACAGGCCTATCCAGGCCTATTCTTTAATGCCGAAGATACTATACTAAGATACTATACTATTACCATAAAATTTAATATCTTGCGAAAAATCGAATCGAATGTGAGCGATAACTACCTACCTAGATGAACGCACGCAGAAGTCAGGAGCATGAATAATATATTCCAACGGTACTCAAACAAACCACTGACATTCACAATACAATCGCAGACTCATCTCCTTTCGTACATTACTAAGAGCACTGTACGCACATCCAGTCATCGTACCATCACATCTTGTAACGCGTTTAGTTGCAGGATCCCCTGAAAACCGTCCATCAGTTGTCAAGTCATCCTCATACTTGCTCTGCCGTTGATGCATGCAACCTGGGGCTTGCTGGTTACCCTCAGCGAGTTCCCCAAACGGATAAACACGTTGTTGAAGTATTGTTCATCCATCCTATGAGCGAAAAACGATTCAGAAACTTTCACTGGACTACCAAAGTCAATCCGCAGGAAGTTTGTCAGCCCAGTTTGACCGGCGGTAGTCGACCATATTTGTTGTGATGAAAGCGAAGTATCCATCGAGAGCATTTTCCTTAAATCTGTGTGGTACCTCCGGCGATGAAGCGGTGGCCATGCTGCTTCTGATGAAGTCACGCTCGGTGGTGTAGGTGGTGGTAGCAAGTGGTGTATGTAAGTCAGTAGCAGGTGGTGTAGGTGGTGGCAGCGTACCTACCTGGCGGCAACCCGGAGAACCAACGCGACACGAAGCATGACAGAAGAAGGTCGCACCGTTGAGTGGCTGCGTGAAGAAATTCAGTTAAAAATACAAATCTGTTTTCATAATGTTTTAAGAAAATGTATGCTGCTGCAAAGCTGCAATAAATTTCAGACAGAACAGTTTCCGCTAAATTTTCTAGTATACTGCAAAATTTAAATAATACGTAGATTTATAATTTTCCATTCGAATGTCCCTTCGAGTTGACGGAAACAAATGCATGCACACGCAAGCAAACTCGGAAAATTTCATTTTTTACTTCATCGATATTTTTTTCAAGTCGTCAGTTGCGCGTTTGAAGATATTGTCGTACTTATTTTTCCTCAGCCGATGACATCCTGCTATAAAACACAGCAAGTATTTAAACGTTACATACCAAATATTTGATAATTCATTTTTGATGCAAGATGTTTTATTCCACACAGATAAGCGGAACCACATTATTATTATTATCATATATTTGCATCAAAATGTTCATTGTTATTCGATCCAACACCTGTTATTTGCAGCAATCATCCTTACTTCCTGATTTCGTCCACTAAAGATCGAAATAGGCTCATTTTTATCAACCTGGTTGGATAAATTTTTTCATGTTCAGTTCATCACGCAGCTCTGTATCTGTAAACAATAAACTTGCTTCACACCGTAGTCCAGCCTCTCCTTAGCCTCTGAGTATCTTAAAAACTTTTATTTTAGCATTAACAACTCGATCTTTACATATTCACCTTTTCCAAAATAAACGATACAGCACGTTGGAAGAAAGTCTTTAATTTTTACATCATGTCTCGCAACAGGCCATGGGCCTATTTCTTCAACGCCGACGTACACTTCTATTCTATTCTATTCTATTCTAACAAACTGCGACGTCCATCCCAGACTATACACATTTAGCACGTGGTTTGTCTTAGCCACAAAGGAGGCAACCGGTATATAACTTTCACGTTTAATTAATTGCCACATTTATCGAGATTTCCTGTTGAAATGGCATCTTATAATGCCCAAAACCAACCAATTAACATTTGATCAATTTTATGCTCTCTGGACACATATAAGAATATTTAAATCATGCGGGTCTCGAAATGCCGTACATCGGCACTGTATATAACTGAGCCCATGCATCTCTTCTTGGGATCTAGACATGATGGATGAAAACTGAATAAGCTTACGAAATATGTCTCCGATTACATCGATCGTTGACTCTCCGAGTATAAACGCGTTCAAGAAAAGACTAGATAAAGCTATGTAGATATATATATTCTAACTTTACATGCATAAAACCATATAGAATCACTTAGAAGTCTAGTAGTTATTTCAAACCGTCGTCAGTTTGGATAAGATCCGGTCGAAGGACCTGTTTTTAGATCGAGTCTACCAGAAATATCGGCAAATATTTAGCCTAATATTGATCGTAAATAAAAATTACATTCGTTTCCACCTTTAACCAACAACGTTTATTATTATTATCCTATGATAATTATTTCCTTATCCTTATGTTTAAAAATACTGTTTTTCTTCTCTGCGTCAGGTTCTTCTCGGCCTCAGGTAATCAATAAATATATTGTTAAATGGTTAAATGACAATCGTTCAATCGGGAGCTAATTTGTAATAACAATAAAATAATGATTTTAAAATTTGATGGAGCTTCCAGATGCTTTGCAGCAGAAGTAGAAGCGCTTAAGTAATTAAAATTGTCAGAATTTATGCAATGAGCAAAACAGTACTGCTATATTGCTCGACCCATTATAGCCTCAGTCTACAAATCAAATTTATCCTCACATCCATCATTGAAAACATCCAAGTTAAATCTATTTCCTCTGTTATATCTTCGGTCGGTCTCTTATAGTTGACACGGAAAGAAGTCGCCGATGTGCTAGATATTCAGTTTTTTTATTCGGCAACGACGAATTTAAATGCATCCAAATGATCAACTACATCCAAATGATCAAATGTATCCAAATATAATATATAATATGCAGATTTCAAATATACTTCCTAACTGCAATAAAAATTTAATTTTGAGACCCAAATTTAATGTTTTGTGACCTTGTGACCAAATTTAATTTTTTATGTTGCCTGGTGCTACTTAATTTATATCAGATTCTAAATTTAATCATCTTCGATTGGTTGTCTTTTTTTAAACTCCTGCTATACACTTCAGCAGGATGGAAGTATCTGATCTATCCAACAAGACGGATATATCTAATTGATTTCGGTATGTACGCTTGTACTGTGCTTTGCTTACTATGTATCGCATCATTTGAAATTCATTTCTATTGCAGGATTCTCCCTGAGATTGTAATATTCCTGCACACATGTACTCATTCACGATACGGTTTCTCTTTATACTCGCACATAACTATACAATATTCATGCGTGAACCGAATATACAAGAAACTACTTCCTTGCTTTTGCCCTGGAGTTTTAGATCTACTTTCTTCGGCGTGACCTCGTTGACAATGTGTTCTCAATTGAATGAATTTTCTCGAGTCTCAAAGCAATCAAAAATATATATCTGAGTTCAATCTATGTAGCACTTATTTCAATAGTTTACATTAGGCACAAATACTCTATCATTCCCACCTGTCATCAGTAACATATGTACTGCTTGTAACCTTACGGTAGTACTGCGATAAAAAATGATCCGGTTTACGTTTGAGTTGTGGGGTAATTGATGAATCTTAACAAAGCGGCTTTTTATTCAAAGTCCTGATACAACTTTGAAGTCAAACCTAAAGTTTATGTTCAAGCCTTGACCTTGATCCCATGATCATCAAATAGTTATTTTGTTTGAAGAAAATTTTAACTTCAAAAGGAGAGAGCCAAACAACATATCAAATCAATATATGTTTATGGTATTCTAATGATAAATGAAATCAAATTTCACCAGTAAAAAAGTAAGTTTTGATTTAACCATTGTTAGAAATTTTCATTTGCACCTCAATTCAATTCAATAACCGTAATTATTAACTCATTTACTTAATTATCGAATTTAATTTAGGCTAATTAATTAACATTTTTTACTGAAAACTTTCATTAGTCGTTATAATAACCACGCTTGTAGTTGCTCGTATGCTAAATAGGGCACTAGCACTACGAAGTAGCACTATGCACTACGAAGTGTTCCGTTGGTATGCTAAATACGTCACAGACACTAAGCACTTCTCTATGGCTTGTAGTGCGTAGTGCTACTTCATAGTGCTAGTGCCTTATTTAGCATGTCAACCGTAGTGTTCCTTGTCGCACTAGTACGGCACTACGCCTTGTAGTGCGTAGTGCTACTTCGTAGTGCTATAGTGCCCTATTTAGCATACGGGCCAGTGCCTTATCAATTAAAAGAAGAGCTTCTACTTTGGAATTTTTTTGGACGTTGATTTTTGAATTAGCGAATAAAACAAGTACCTAAATAAAATTGGAAGACCATTTATCGTAAATAAATGAATATGCAAAAAAATTGCGTTGCGATGGGTCTTCTTCCAAAAACAAGTAATTCACGCTTGCGTAAATATGAGTACGGAAATTGTGTGAATTTGGAAGCTATTTTTATCTATTTCCGCGGAAACCATGATTTTCTTTTCGAGTAGAAATATATCTTGTACAGTTTCATTTTCATTCAGGGTTGTCTGTCTGCTAACAATACTACATGACGCAGATATTAATTAATATTTGCTATTATAAATACCAAGGCGATGGAAATAAGACGAATCACGCCTCCATTCTAAAAAGGGGTTAGAGTAAAGGTAATTCCAAAAAATTTATGTACCATCTTTTTTGTTCTTAAATTCACTGTTAATTTTCGAATTAATCAATCAAAGGATTTTAGTATACAATCCTGATTTTTTTCTGCCTATTTCATTCCAATGCAGCGCAGTGCGTACAGAATAGGGAATATTAGATGATGGAATCTGTGGCTTGAATGAATGAATCTGTGGCTTAAATGCATGAATCTATGGCTTTAATTAATGAACTTATGGCTTGAATGAATGTAGCTATGGCTTGAATGAATGAATCTATGGCTTTAATTAATGAACTTATGGCTTGAATGAATGAATCTATGGCTTGAATGAATGAATCTATGGCTTGAATGAATGAATCTATGGCTTTAATTAATGAACTTATGGCCTGAATGAATGAATCTATGACTTGAATAACTTTATGGCTTTAATGAATAAATCTATTACTTGAATGAATGAATCAATGGCTTTAATTAATGAATTTATGGCTTGAACGAATGAATCTATGGCTTTGATTAATGAAATTATGGCTTGAATGAATGAATCTATGGTATGAATGAATGAATCTATGGCTTTAATGAATGAATCTATGGCTTGAATGAATCTAAACAATCAATTAATTCTTATCGACATCTTTGTCGACGGTTTGATTTAAACCTCCAGTAGCCGTCTTCTTTTTGATAGAAGTNTCGAATTTCACGATTAGAATGATCAGTGATAGAGATAGACTGAAAATTCGCCAACTTAACGAGCATTGACATGTTTTCTTATGACAAGTTAGTCATTAGAGAAATTTAAACCTACTTCGACAAATTTAGCCATCAGAGCGCAACTTTATGTAACAGGTACTCATGACAATAATTTATAATGTTACCTTGTCGAGTGTTGTGATCCATTTAGTAATAGATTGAATGTAGCAAAACGAGGTTACCTGGTAAGTCTTGCCATAAGCGGTCTTGGTGAGACGGAAGTCAAGCTTGTGCTCCTCCCCAAACTCTTGCACGATTTTTTCGACTCCTTCGACGCCCACAACCCGATGACCTGACTTGTACAACCTGAAAAAGTGAATTTTCGTTAATTTTTTATTCATTGCTATTAACTCATAACTCCATAGTCCATTTTACGCGTTCCACTTTCGTTGTGTGAAAGATATCTACGAGTATATGAAAGGGCATGTAAACTTAATATCTTATATTAGTCTTCGTAAACATAGCGATAGACTTGGTCATTTGATGAATCAGTAGTTTTGTAAGTTTCTTATAATTCTGTATTCGTACCCTGAATTATATTAAATCGACGTACAATATACTCCAGAGTATTAAGTACTATCTCTAAAGAGTATTTACTCGACACGCTAGAAATCCTTCGCGTATCAACTCGATGCGCATTCAACTTTCTAGCCTATGACTCGTCGCGTTAAAACTTCTTCTCGTATTAATCGACGCGGTGAATCTTACCAGCGTGTTATATAGACACGCAATAAACTACATATGCGTATAATATCAACGCGAAAACACAGTCTAATATATAAAATAAACACGCACTTAAGCCACGTTTTCGAAATAAATCCATGCTCCACTCTATGAATAACAAAACTTCTTAAATCGAATTTCTCGTTCATGTACGAATTCAGTTTCGTTTACAATTAAGCTGGGACAGGAAATAAGCTGTACAGCCTGGCCTCATAGACTTCAATACAATTTGGCGCTCAATGTATGTGTGAATGGTAGCCGACTATGTGTTCCAATTGTTGAGACCTCTGTAAACTTTTGAATCCATAATATTCATTGCCTATCGTGGCGTTCAAATATTACTATAGTGGCCATTTTGAATTCATGATTGCTTCAGCTTGCTATAAGCGTGACCCGAGTATAAGGAATGTGTGTACTCATGCTCGGTTATGTATTTCTGGTCTTCTACTGTTGTGTCAGATTGAATTGCGGTAAAATTGTTCACTATTCATAAAAAATATTTCAATAGTTCATTGATTTGCAATATTACTTACACGTGTAGATTTTTCTCAATCTAAACTTCATTTCGACTAACATTTCGCAATTCTTGAGCTGCGACAAGATGTTTGAGAAAGCGACGATGCTTCCTATTCATGACGATAACATCCTTTTTATCTTCATTTTGCATCAACGTCTTGGATCATTTCCAGAAGAAACAAAATATTCAACTTTTTCGCTTTGAATTATTCAGTCTCAACGACAAAGACCATTAGACATTTGGATTTCTCCAAGATACTTTTTTCACCGTTTTATTCCTTCACAGCTAATTTATAAATCCATTCACTCCATATTTTCCTGGCACTCACCACAAGAAGTCGAGCGCCTTGCCACACAGAGGGAACTCACCACAAGAGGTCTAACGTCTTGCCACACTGAGGGAACTCACCACAAGAGGTCTAGTGTCTTGCCACACAGAGGGAACTCACCACAAGAGGTCTAGGGTCTTGCCACACAGAGGGAACTTACCACAAGAGGTCGAGGGTCTTGCCACACAGAGGGAACTCACCACAAGAGGTCTAGTGTCTTGCCACACAGAGGGAACTCACCACAAGAGGTCGAGGGTCTTACCACACAGAGGGAACTCACCACAAGAGGTCGAGGTTCTTGCCACATGGAGGGAACTCACCACAAGAGGTCTAGGGTCTTGCCACACAGAGGGACCAGCACCCTCTTGTCCCGCCCCTGCAGCACCTCCCCAGCGTACTTCACCAGGCAGGGATGGAAGTCAGATACGTGCCATTCTGAACGCATTGTGCATGAGTAAATCAAACATTAAGTAATAAATGATTCAATTCGAGCACCGTGTTTTTATGTATAAAATTGCAGTTCACGTTGAAAAATGACGCAATTTAACACTAATATCATTGTGAATTATAGAATAATCAGGTAAAATGAGAATTTTTGCGCATCAGCTTATGGTAGGACCGAAATGGTAGATAATTAGGAGACACACACTCTTGTAAAAAGTAAATAAACTGTATAGGCAGACTTGGAACTTTGATGCTATGTTAACTGCAAAACGCGTACTAATGTTTGTACATTTTTGAAACCATAGCGACGACTTCTCTCATAAATAAAATTTTTTTAATTACAAAAGTTCAGGTTCCCTTCCCTCGTTATCATTAACATTGTTATACGCATCAATTAGAAGAGGGTTTCAAGTAAAAAAATATAAGTACAAGACAGCTCACCAGTTTTTCCAGTTGCCCAGCGGTTATCCCAAAAATCCATTGTTCGGTAATTAGCAACAGAGGCCATGGTGAGAACGATACTCTATAATACTCGATGTAAAAATTAAGGTTTTGACTGTAACGGAAGAAAAAAGCTTTTATAAATAATTCATGACTGTGTGTTTAACACAGCTCGTCATTATATTACTTTGTCCCAAGATATTTGTACGAAAGATACGAACTCACATCCCAATCATAACAATCACGATCACTAATTTTATATTTATATAACAATCACAATCCGCGGCTTTGGGCAAAATTTAAGAAGAACTTATGAACATAGCATAATCTTCTTAATCGCCGTAAAATACAATAAAATTACACATTTTATTGATTTTTTACGTAACTAGTACAAAAATCTTATTTGATGTGTTTAAAAAATTGAACATTTTTTATAAAAAAATGGACGTAAAATACAGTAAAATTACACCTTTTAATGATTTTTTTACATAACTAGTACAAAAATCATGTGTTTACTTTAATTCGTTATTTGTATCAATCTAAATTCTTAAAATTGATCATAAGCTAATTGTTCACTTGTTGACAACCCCATATAAATGGTTCTCAAATGATAAATAAATAAATGCCCTGATTTGCCCGACGTTTTGAAACGAAGGCTCAATATATATAACTGCATATCAAAGTCCACATCTTTGCAAGGCTTTTCAAATTGGTGTGAGTGCTTAAAGTATCTGTTTAAGTAAATATAAAGAAAATATTCGGTACGAAAGCGAAGTGACTCCAACGACAATGGCCTAAAACGACAAAAAATTTACGCTGTGGAGGCATATGTGTGACAATTTGCCTCATAAACGTATAGATGCTGTCCTCTTTTTGTACCAAAAATTTCCACATTATTAACACTTGTCTCACATGAACAGAATAATTGTGGTTGTTTTGAGTGCACGCGTGATGATGAAGCATCATCATTTTCCCAAAATTTCAAACGACGCCCTACTCCAATAGACCCCAGCTTCTCAAAGATTTGAATCTTGCCGCGCTCCTATAGTTTCCTCTGTGATGACTCCTGAAATTTCTGTGGTCTCTTTCTTGCAATGATTGGTTCGCTTTTTTGCGTGAATGATTGAGAGACATGAATATGGCCGCTTTACAGTGTTATTATGAAATATTAAATGCATTTTGCAAGGAATGATGTAAGTGCATTAGCCGCTTGGTTTTATGCATATTTTAAAAATATACCTCATAAATTGTTTATTAACAGAAATTTTGAAACTCAAACTACATTGCACAGTAGGCGCACCCATCTTACGAAATAGCTGAGATGTATAACGAAAACCAGCCAGCAGGAAGAAAAAACTAAAAACTTCACTACAAAAAGCAGGAAGAAACCGTCAATGGAAACGAGGAAAAGGATCGAAGTCCGAGCGAAAGTTAGCTCCCTAAAAATCAAGCAACGCAAGACCTGCATGTCAGCAAACAGCTTCGTGCCCAACAGTCTTTTTCCCTGGACCTTTTTCTTCTTATTATTTTTTCTTCTTCTTATCATCAACCATCCTGTTAAAATTGACTTTTACATGACAGACTATTGGTAACGAAAATTTCGTATTGCTCAATGAAGAATAGGATGAAATAAATTTCGAATTATAGTTTCGATTCAACGACGATTCAAGCATTCACATTAAGAGTCCCAGCCATCAGACTTTAATACTAATTCGCAGAACAACTGACACAAGTGTCTGCATCCTAATTTAAGCCTAAAGCTGCAGATCAGATTTTATAAGGCCTGACCTAGGCTTAGGTCATGGCTGACAAAACCATGCCTGCAATCTCCGTTTCGCTGACCTTGCATTGATGAGCATAAGAAATGACCGATGCATGCCTTGAGGGTTAACTGGATACTTTCACAAACTCAATTTTGCCGTCGTATTCAACATTATTGTACAGAAATATTCCGTATTTCGACAACGGTTATCAATTACATTTTATTTTTTTTTTCAAACAACTAACGTAGCTAGGTTATTTATTTTTTAAACTTTTGGTGTTACTAATGGGGACTGATCATTAGCGGAACCAAAGATTCACCTTCTGATGCACTATGCTTTTTTAAAACGCAGAAGAAAAATATTGAGAGAAAATTTGCATGAACTAATCACTATTATTTTTGTGTTTATTTTTTATTTTGTGTAAACACTAAGTTTGTTGATGAAACAAGACTTGAACATGGGGTGCGTGTTAGATGTTGGTTTGGCCTGTTATTATTTAATCCGGGTGTTTTAGTTTCATACCTATCACCTGGATGCGGGACGATGGGGTTCGGGTTCTAACCTAGTTTTCTATAGTATACATTCAGGTTAGCCCGCAATTTATCTTAATAAATTGGGAATCTAATTTCATTAATTATCGTCATCACGAATCCCGTAATCATAAATCCAGTCATCACAAACCTCATCCTCCTGATTCCCGAAAATAATGTTGAAACTTAAGTAGCTATAGTTAAGGCAATACGCGTTCAAACACATATTCAGAGTGAACCTCCCATTATATTCATTTTCAAATTTGAAGTAAACTTAAACGTCCCACTTTTGAATAAAATTTAGACCCAACAATTAATTTCTTGGATAATATCCCGATTCATATCGTGGATACAACAGCCCCTTATATATCTACTGGACAGGCTTCAAACACTCAAAAAACACAAACTTTACATAACATAACATAACATAATATAACATAACATAACAGAAAAAACATAAAATAACATTAAAAAAATAACATATCATAACATAACACAACATAACATATTATAACACAACAAAACATAACATAAAATAACCTATCTAATGAAGCGCCGGATCAATCTAATGTATGCTATATAACATGCAACGTTGTTACCAAGATAGAGCAGCAGGCCTGAGATAAACTTTCAATAGGAGACCACCCCACAGACTAGTGGGGTATCCTGCAGGGTCAGGCCTTATATAGCTGCGTTGTAGAGTTATACTAGTCAAATTTTCTTATATACTAGTAGCTACTTTGTAGAGATTTACTAGTCAAATTATCTTATATACGGGTAGCTACGTTGTATAGTTTTAGTAGTCAAGTTATCTTATATACGAGTGGCTACGTTGTAGAGTTTTACTAGTCAAAGTATCTTGTATACGAGTAGCTACGTTGTATACTTTTAATCGTTGAAAAATATTTTTTCTGCTGCCATGACTGGCACTTGTATTTACCTCATAAAAGTGGGATAAGTAAACAATTTTTCTGCACAATAGATCAATGATAAAAATAACTATTAAGGGAGTTGAATAAGTGAATTTTTATGGTAAAATAGTGAATCTAGTGTGCTGTACACAGACCTTGCCGTAAAGGAAAAAATTTCTGTTCATCAGCTTTGTAGTAATTCATGCCATGAATTGCTGCAGAGAATTTTTTAATAATTCTCTGCAGAGAAGAGATAATTGCTGCAGAGAATTTTTTCAAGACAAGAAACAAACCTCAGTTAAAAATTGATCGTTGCACCTGTCATTTGCAAACTCAAATTATTGCTGGGTAAAACTAAATTAAGGATTTTTCTCGCTGAAAATAATTTGGAATATAGTCTATTTTGAACACATCTAGGCAACTCTCTCTGGAAAAATACACCATATCCATTATAGAAACGATAATACTAGTGGGGTATCCTGCAGGGTCAGGCCTTATATAGCTGCGTTGTCGAGTTTTAACAGTTCAATTATATTTTTCTGCTGCCATGGCTGGCACGTGTATTTACCTCGTAAATGTGGGAAAGTAAACAATTTTTCTGCAAAATAGATCAATGAAAAAAAAACTATTAAAGGAGTTGAGTACGGGAATTTCGTTAAAAAATATTGAATCTTGTCTGCTGTACACAGGCTTTGACGTAAAGGAAAAAAATTTCTGTTCATCAGTTTGTAATTCATGCCATGAATTTGCGCAGACAATTTTTTTGTCAGACTGCTGTTGTTGTCAAAAAATGTCTACATGAACTCTTTCTATGAAGGATTTCCTTCCTCAGATTTTTTCTTATTTCCAGAAGTCAGCAATTTGAAAAAAACTCCTAAAATTTCAACCGTCATTGCATAAAACATTGAACATTTTTCTATTTATTCATTTCAATGACGTTAGCTGTGATCCATCGACGTAAGCTCTTCAGTAGGAGAAGTTTTCCAGCCTCGCTTCGTGTGTGGAACAAATAAATGCTGATAACGTCAAGAGGAGATACTATACAAGGCACTTTTATTTAGAAAGGAACATGAGGAAAGGGAACATGAGGCGTAGGGTGGCACTCCAGTAGTGCCTTATATGAACCAAATAAGTAATTACTAAACGCAGTGTCAGAAATTTAAATGTTCATAATGATTTGTGCACCATCGCCCATTGAGCAGTTCTTCATAATTTGGCTGTAACTCGCTTCTCTATTCCGTTGTCATTGTAATTTCCGTTCGCACATTTACACTATTATTTTATTATAATTTACACTATTAAAATTATTAAACTCTTCATATGAAATTTGGAAACTTCACTGGAAAATATCTAAAAAAATTTCATATACTGAACATTTTGAGAATTGGCTCGACCAAAGAAACAATATATACGTTATAAAGTATATACATGTAGGAATAATAATAACTAAGCTTTATATTATATTAAGTCAATTTTTTCGGTCCAGCTCAAAATAAAAATATTCATTGGATTTTTTTCTTCTAAATGACTGGATCGCTTATATTATCTTCTTATATCTTCTGTCGAATCGCTTATATCAGTGCTGGGAATCTTAAGCACAGGTTTATCATTTCTAATATGCATTGATTTGATTGCTATCAATTCTCTGTTTGAAGATTTCACACGGCCGAATTGACTATAGCTAATAAAATTTATCCATTTCTATATCAGTATTACTATACACACACTAATAGCTAATTTATACAGGTTTCATTGAAGACCAGAACTTGCTTTTTATTAACAATTTTCCTATTGTCGTTTGCAATAATACAGCTTAATAAAAAATACGCTTTGGTCTTCAATCAAACCTGTATAAATGAAGAACTTCTGCCTAACTACACTAATAATAGATAATTATACACGTGCGATTGAAGACCAGAGAATTCTTTGATTTAAATTATCAGAGAGTGGAATAATTCTTCAGAAAAGGAAAGTTTCAGGAAGTAGTTTTAGTTTATTAAAGACGTTTCGAATGCAACAAACATTCATTTTCAAGTTAAAATGAAACAGAATTACATTTTGAAATTTTGACGAAAATGAGTACATAATATATCTAAAATCATCAATCGTACGTGTATAATCTGGCAATTTCTGCCATTTAATATTAATAGCTAATTATATACTAATTATGTTAATAATCAGCATACTACCCAGTTAAATTTCGGAGACGCATTCTGCGCCGTTCACGGCAGAAGAACAGTTTAGCAGCATTTAATTCTTATCGACTATTTTGTCGACGGTTTGATTTAAACCTCCAGTAGCCGTCTTCTTTTTGATAGAAGTCAATCTTCGAGGCCTTTCATAGTTAGTGTTATGAATTATTTAATTGTAGAGATTTCACTATCATATTATTGAAACGAAACTCGACAGAGTAAAACAATGTAAATAGACGGTTCATCAATTTTTGAGTAAGTGGCTGGGAAAGATCATGGCATGCAAGATGCAGCCTTCTACCATGCAATAATTTATTGTTCAAAACCCAATAGAAGTTTTCATAAGTAATTGCTAATAACTACTAATTAACGCAGATAAAATGCAACTCGGTTAATAACTGCACAAATAATAACTGACATGTATTATTTCAATCTATTTTCATTTCTATGACATTCCAAAATAATAAAAGCCATTTCGCGGCTAGTGGAGTGACAGCGATAAAATTGGAACTTGGTTACGTATTGATTCGTGTACAAAATTCTTGAACCCCATTGTAATGTATCAACAACCACAAATACTTAGCAATCAGAAGCATTATTCTTATGCCTTGAAACTCGAAAAACGGAGATTATAAAAAAATCGTCAAAACTTCAACCATCCATGTCTCGTTATTCATCATTTCTTTTTAGGCGTCATGAGAACGTAGCGTTCAGCGAGCGCCTCGATGCCTGAAGGCAGGAGCTTCTGGAAGTCATTTCCACCATGTGACTCGAGTAGCTTGCATTCTGCCTTGTCTCCTGCGATAGAAAATTTATCTGTTCATTCGGAAATATTATTATTACCTAGAAATAAACGCGTGTTTTAAAAAATTTGCGGAAGTTTTACATATTGTGTAATCCTTTCTTGAGTTGTATTCTGTTTCACAGGCGTTGATGAGTATTTCTTTATTGATGGTCATTTCATAGTTTTCTTCACCATGAGCTTTCTTTTTCAATTTATTTGGTAGAAATTAATTTTATATATTATAATAATTAAAAGTTGCTCACCATACAGCACGGTCAGTTCAGAAAGAGGAATGGAGCTTGGTGGGCCGTTGAAATTTGGAAAAGGAGCGTAGTCCAGGCTGACCAGGAGATACCGAAATTCAGGCTCCAGCAGACTCATCATCACTGCCGCGTACCTGAGCAATCAAATTTTCGCTGTTGAACGTTCTACACATCTCACTCTGTTCGGGACCAAAATATGTATATGCTACAATATTAATATTAAATGGCAGGATTTACTTACAATGTTATGAGATGGTTGCAAGTTGAAGCATGACATACGCATGATCACACTTTATTATGGTACAATTTCTCACTTCTCTCTGTCGCAGACGTTGATGGCGATGATGGAAGCGCGGTCCCACACAACGTCGAAGAGTCCAATTTTTGCGGGTGACAAACTGAAGAGGTCCTCCACCACAATCTGCAGCCGTCCGTCTGGCGTCTGAAATGAAGATATTGAAATAAACAGGAGGAAAAAATGATTAGCAGATGGAAAATGTCCTCCACTGGCAGCTGGAGCTATATATCTTGGTCTGAAACGTGGACATGTAAAAAACGAAATTAGAGAACAACCTAATCAATCAACTCATGGAGTTCTCCGCTCTCTGTGTGACTCATCTGAGGTCTACAATTTTTGAGCGATGATATGGTCACGAAACAACAGAGAACAAACTGAAGTGGTCGTTCATCACTGTCTCGAGCCGCCCGTCTGACATCGTAAATACGAACTATCGAATTTCACGATTAGAATGATCAGTGATAGAGATAGACTGAAAATTCGCCAACTTAACGAGCATTGACATGTTTTCTTATGACAAGTTAGTCATTAGAGAAATTTAAACCTACTTCGACAAATTTAGCCATCAGAGCGCAACTTTATGTAACAGGTACTCATGACAATAATTTATAATGTTACCTTGTCGAGTGTTGTGATCCATTTAGTAATAGATTGAATGTAGCAAAACGAGGTTACCTGGTAAGTCTTGCCATGAGCGGTCTTGGTGAGACGGAAGTCAAGCTTGTGCTCCTCCCCAAACTCTTGCACGATTTTTTCGACTCCTTCGACGCCCACTACACCTGAACCTGAAACCTTCACGTCCTTTTCTCTTTCAAATTTATATTGAATAATTACCATTTGCGTTTGATTTAAGTTGTTACACTTTTTTAACAAGCGTTTAATTTTAATCCTGTACAGTATCCTACAGGTTTAAAAATTCATCTCGCGACGAGTTTTAATTGTTACGTCTATTGCTCCCCCAGACGTACCTATACCCCAAGCTGGTTCACAGCTCCCTCGCCCACGATAGCTTCACCTGTCAAAACTTCCCCTCATCTGTGCCATTCCCAACCCAGAGAAAGGACGGCAAGTTTGTCGGCAACAGGAGGTGAGCTTCGTAAACCTGTTCGACCTGTTGTGTCATTCTGGTCTCTATTTGGAAGCGGATAGAAGCAACAAATGAAGGAAATTTCAGCATATACTGATAATTGACTCAATAATATGTATACATTGAGCGTCGGAATATTACTAATTTAATTTAAACTTCGCAGGTACAGAAGTGAATTCTCGGACGATATGGTTAAGATCGAGTGCCCTGTTAAATGCAGACCTCCTAACCATCAAGACTGGAAATTTTGCTGAAAATTTTCATGCGAGGTTTTTTGTATTGGTTCTACAAACCGGTTAATAAGTCTCACAGGCTTGTTCTTTTACTTTCCAGTACGAACTTAAAGGATCTACAAAGGGATTCTTCATAGATGTGTTGCATTATTTCCATTATTTGATCTATACGGCAAAATTTTTAACATGTTTTAATAAATTTTTCCTTTAAAAAATTATAAAAAAATTTTGTTTTAGTGCACGGAGTTGTCACCGAATTTCGGTATTCTTGATGATTATTTTTCTTAATATAGGTCAATAATTGTACAATTGTCATTGAATGAAGAGTCAGCAGGTCTAAGGTATCGACGTCCAGAACGTGTTCTCGCCGTATTGAATAGAAATTATTATGCAACTTGTGAGGAACGGAATGAACTTTTTGACAGGTCCAAGTTTAATTGTAGGACCAAACAAATTATAAAAACGATATAAACCATGATAGACTGCTGTCATTATTCTTAAAAAAAACGTAAAATTAATTAAATTCATGCGCATCTCAATGAAAGATATATATTGATTAAAATGAACCCTTTTCGGGGTGCAAAGGTTAAATTATTGCACCTAAACTTAGTGCGATAATAACTTAATAAAATTATGCTCTCAGGCAACGTATGAAAAAACAAAAATTACTTATTTGTCGGTTCCTCTGAGCTATGGTGCTACAATTAATTTTGGTCATAATTAGCATTGTTAGGATGACGATGCAACATTCAATTCTGATCATCACTAACTAGGTGAGGATGATAATGTAACATTCAATTAAGATCGTCACTAGCTAAGGCGAGGATGATAATGTAACATTCATTTCTGATCATCCATAGCTAGGCCTGGATGGTAATGCAACATTCACTTAAGATCACCACTAGCTAGGTGAGGATGGTAATGCAACATTCAATTAAGATCATCACTAACTAGGTGAGGATGGTAATGCAACATTCAATTAAGATCATCACTAGTAACTAGGTGAGGATGGTAATGCAACATTCAATTCTGATCATCCTCATGTTGGGGAGAAGGATTAAGAATATTAAGTGCCTCAAGAAGACCAAATTGCTCATCTTAGCTGTAAGATGTATTTCCTTGTTTTAAGAGACTCACTCGAAATTTTATCCTTGTCTTATAATGCATAAACAGATATTGAAGAGTGCTTGCACGTAATGCATAACCCGGTATTGAAGAGTGCTTGCACGTATAGCCTGACGAACGAATGTAATTATTGTTCTCGATCATTCTTCTAACCAATTTTCAACTGAACGATCTATAGCCAAAACTGTCGTGATGACCTTATATAACTTCTGGCCTGGGCAGCTGCCTGATATATTAAACTGGACTGCAAGAAACAATGCAATTTATAATATTTGAAATAATTTAGGATTGAAAAAATTGCATAGTTGCGGCACTGAGACTAGGCTAGTTAAATGCACTGGACAGGTTAAAAGAATATTGTTGAGCCATCGTTCGTCCTATTATTAATGAGCGTTACACTACCCAGACAACTGAATAGTTCTGTTAATTTTTTATATTATGAACAGTTATTTACACGAGTGTCGTTTGATTATGGATTCTTAATATTGATTAAGGTTATAAGCGACGTAATCACTCAATATCACACAAATTGCTCGTCATCAACATTTATTAAAATTTCTATTTACTTTGTATTCACTTAGGTTGAACGGATGAATTGATGTGTGATTTATTATTTTATATTAAACTTTTTTTTTGTAAAAAGTGAATCACGTTTGAAGTAAAATAATAAAACTTTTATGTTTTTTTTTTGTTCATTCCTAATCGGTCTAACTACTCAAAACATGTTCTGGACCATTTAATGAGTTTTTGTGCACTGCATCATAGTTGACAATACGCGACATGGATATGTTCTTCCCGCGAGCTCTACTAACCGACGTATGACATCTTCTGTGTCCTAAGTCTGCAAATATTTAGCGTTACTATAGGTATTAGCCTATTTCTCGAACATGTTAGAGGAAAGTGGCGATCAAACACAATTATAAGAGAGCAGATGAAATTTACTAAATTTACCGTACGTATCTATAGGGAAGTATTCGATGATGACGGAAAATTATTGCCGGCAATTAATGACAGCACGAAACTCTGAGTGAAAGCCCAAACGAACGTGACCGGGAATACCATAATGAAACATGATCGCTTTACGCAACGTGATTTTGATCTCTTAATTCGGATGGTTGAGGCCTCAAAGACTAGCAATGCTCAAGCTCTTTTATTGCACAGGTTGTTATCAGTCTACTGTTTGAATCTTGAATCATTTCGCGATCTCTGCGTAAAGTCTGAGCGTTTAAGTTAAAAAGTTTGGACGATTATCAGTCCCCATATATTGAACAGGTTACACTTAAAAGATAAAGATTCTGAAGTGCAGTAAATTTGGCGAAAAAATATCAATCGTATGCCGGAATGAAGCAGAAAATCAGACGATTCCGTAATTTTAAGAGTTTTTTTCACTGGTGCAATAGGAGTCACAACCTTTCATATTTTATTAACTCTAGTCTCTAGGCACTTTATAAGTGTTGTTTGAAATAGATCTATACTCATTGTTTGCTTCTTCATGTTCAACGATCATATTCATATCTCCACTCAAATCTCCTGAAACCTGTCAATCACGTCAGGATTCAGTGGTTTAAAGCCTATATCTAAACAATTTATAACAGAAAATTTGGATAGATGAAATAAGGTTAATCAATGCCTTATTTAAAATAATACAGATCACCAATACAGATCAACGTGAGAGCTGCTCAAATAAGTAAACTCGGTTTATCTTCTTGCATAGCAACAAACAAAGCAATTACCTTCTTGCAATAATTGTTGGATTGATAAACAAACATATAAAAAACTATTGACCTATCCCTCAACACCATGGACCAGCAAAGCTTAGATAATTTGCTACCATATTTCAGCCTTGAAAAATTCCACTAAATGACAAAACAATGGTGAATGCGAATAGCCCTGTTCACCCAGGTAGACTACTTGAATAAATGATAAATAACGACATCGAAGGAAAGAGCCTATGGCAAAGTTAATGACGGATGTAGAGTATGAATTGATTGCGATCTATTCTGAAAGAAATTTTCAGTCGCTTAGTTAATCTCAGCGCCGGATCGAAAACTTCCACCAGCTCGGTAACGGGGGAAGGATTTTCTAAAGAAGGGCTTATCGAGGGAAATGAACAGAGCGATTCTTAGCTTGATCACGCTTGCTGAGTAGGCGAGTCATGGGCGTACAGGGCGAGGAATCCGAAGTGGCGGCCTGTCGTTGGTAGTGATAATAATATGCGTTTTAAATTTTTTATAGACAACACTTCTAAAGAGTTCAGTGTCTCCGATGTTACAATTTTACAGTGAATTTCTTTTTTTATTTTGGAATTTTTGAAAAATATATATATTTTTTCAATTTATTGATTCAAGCATTGTCTTCGACTTTACGCAAGTGTGCAAAATTTCAGATCGATTGGACAGGTAGAAGTATGTTAAATATCGATTATAAGATTTGTAACAGACAAACAAACAAGAAGTGAAGTTGAAGGGGAGTGTCAAAAAATAACACCAGCTCCACATCTAAAGACTAAAAATGACATTTAAATTTTTTATATTGATTCATTATTATTTCTAATTTAATTTCAAATTGCCGTTTTTTTAAATAATGCTTTCAGGACAGGCTTTGGAAGCTGACGAGAAGCTATACTATGTATGAAATTAATCCATAATTTATTCTCTGACATTACGCAATTCAAATATAAGTTCTAACTTTCTGGCTCTTGGGACAGTTTGGTGTAGTGGTTAAAGGTGGTCTGGGCTAGAAAGATGGATCTGAGGTGGAGGGTTCGTATACCAGGCTGGTCTTCTGACGAAGTAGCCAGTTCTGAAAAACCTCCTAGCCCCGGCGAGGGATCGAACCCACACCGTATAGTTCAAGCAATAAATAGGCATTACCCACCACAACAATCTGACCTGCCCCCCTATGGAAGGGTATAAATACAAAGGTGCCATCTTCCAAAGGTTACGGTATAACTGTAGGTAAGAAACAAGCTGTAGCTAAACGGGTTACGTAGATAGGAGACAAACAAATTTAACCCGTATCCCTGTTGCTGAAGTAAACTCCTATATTGAAGATCGCTCACAGGCTATCAAATTCTCTTTGACGATCACATCATGTCTCGCGAGTGCCTTTACCAGACACTCACAGATGGGTCAATGAAAAACAGACTTCATAATTGCTTCTAATATTGAGTCCATCTTCAACATGACGCATTCTGCAAAACAGAGTGGCATCAGAAGGCAGAACTTAGTCGTATTGGTAATTCTTCTGAACGTTAGTCGGCAACGACTGAGCAATTTGAGGCACTTTAGAATTATTCAGATTTCAATCTAGGCGGAAGTAGTCTTAGGTATAAAGAATAAAAGTATTAGATTTCTACCTAGGTACGGCAACATGAAAATATTTGTTAAGGAAACGTTTCGCTCAGGGTTAAATAGTACAAACTGCCTGATTAAGTTGCACAAAGGGGAATTTAAAATAGCAATTAATTCACAGTTCATAGACAATTAGATTCATTCGAACAATCACGTTGATTGGCAGAAAGATGGAAAATCAGTTTCAATAAAACAAGCACACGTCATAAATGGGGCAAAACTACTAAGAAATGACAATATATCAAAGATCATTCAGGAAAGTTTAACCGGATTCAATGATGCGGCACATAGTTTTTAGACTGAGCGTAATGACAAGATAGAAAATCATGTAACAATAAATGATACTTGAGCATCCCCGCTCTTGTCACTGATAAATCAGGTGAAATTTACACATAAAAATGATGCAAAGTTATTAGAAAATGACTAACCTATATTCATGTTATCAGGAGAGAACTTAACACCGGAATTCTTATAAAATACAGGTCACACATGCTAATTCTTGATACTGCATAGAACAAGTTGAGATAATGGCCACTGGAAGATTCTATCAATTTAATTTTTGTTCGAAACGAGTTTGCTGCAGAGTCACATTACAGACAATTTGCTACGAGGATACTTTTAGAACATAAATAAGATAGGTAACGATTAAATTACTCACTTTTCCTACATGTCACACTGATTCGTTTTTGCTTTTCCTACATGTCACATTGATTCGTTTGTCCCAGTAATGGGGAAGCCCTCGATGCTGCTCAAACGTCAAATTTCGAGTAACCCGAAACGCGCATGTCCGTGCACGCGGATACTAAACAATCTTTTAAACTAATGCTAATGCTGGGATTTATCCCGGCACATCATCTTAAATTCGACACTCCCTACACCAACTTTAGCATAACCAGCTAATTGCAAATGTGGAATCTTCTTTAAAGAACCTTCTTGTACTAACTTAATATTATCGTAAAGTTAGAAAATCAGTTAACAGGTATCGTCAATCGTCATAAGACGTCATTCGACTTCCGATCTATGCTACTTCTTGCATGTTTGTATTTTTTGTGCCGGAAGCTGACCATGTTTAAAGTTCAGCCATTCTCAGTAGTACAAAGCCAATATGCACATCTTTGATAATTTTTTAGACGTTTATTGAAAATATAAATTAGCATCCTTGCTTGAAAATTCTCGTTTCTCGCATTCTCTTTACTGCGGTTTCTTGAACAGTTAAAGTTTTAAATTTCAGTAGTCGCGGATCGTTCGGGGACTTCGGATTCTTTCAGGCTTCATGCCCGGGTCGCCTGCCGAAGACCACAACTGCTGTGGATATAATGGACCATCATGATTCCTGCCTTCCGGAACGTAGCCTTCAACACTTCAAGCCGTCCGTATCTAGGCCGTGGGTCGAACCAGCCCTCGGTCGGGATTGAGTAGTCTTCGAGAACAAAGGAAAGGCAACTGACTTACTCTTCTCCACTGCAAAATTGTAATTATTTCTCAGTATTATTTATACCTATAAATACTATTATTATTATTTTTCGTAATCCGTTGAAGGGCGGTTGCCCCGTGTCAGCCTTGCAGGGCTGCCTGAGCTGGACACGATGACCATGTCATAAAAGTTACTAGCTGTAAACGTCTTTGCATGAAATTGAGCCTCTGGTAGACTGCTCTGATCTTAAAACTGAGCGAGTAGTGCAATATAGACTGCATATATATATATAACGTACAGAGATTGAAATGCCCCCTCCCTTCCCCCCATAAGGGGGGGAAGGGGGGGAAGGGAGGGGGCATTTTTTATATTCGGCCGTGTCTGTCCCGAACGTATCAGGTACCAAATACGCGCTCCACGATCGCCCCAAGCTCGACGAGTAATTTCACAAGACTCCATTTCGGCGCTTATTTCGCTACGGCAACCGGAAACTAAAGCGGACATAGAGCTTCTAATTTACCCTGCCATAAGAACTTGGGGCGTCCGTGTGCCAGCGGCTGACAGGTCTTCGAATTTCGATAGGGGTTTAGCTTTGGCAGGAAGAAATCCCGTAACATCGTCACGTGACGCTTAGATGCACGAAATGCACGCTGTGTGGCGATGATTGATTTACCACAGAAAAAATATGCCTCAATCGTAAAAGCACGTTCCACTATAGTCCATTACATGACTGCGGCAAAAAAAAAAAGAAAAATAAATCAAAGCTGCTCATCATATAAACAAAACTTTACAGTTTGCGCTCTTTAACTTTAAGATAACTTTAGGCCCCTCCTTATTGTTATCGTAGTAAATCACACTTCAGGAAGTTTAATTCAATTAAGCAAGTTCCTCTGCACCACCATGAATAAGTAGCTCAAAGGATCGTTTCACCATATAAGAGCTAGAATAAGATTATGTGCAGTAAGTGATAGATCAGGTGTTATAATTGAGATACAATAATCTTAATTTTTACAATTTTTTCCGATTTAAACATTTGAATTTACGGAAAAATTCATGGCGTAAACTGATTTTTATTCAGCAGTTGAAAACAATCTATGAACTGCTCCAGTTTCATAATTCTATTCCGGTAACTCAACAAACAGATAAGGCTGCCGTTACTCAGAACCTTGTAGACGATGGAAGGATCCAAGGTCCTTCTATTTCCTTATCCTTCGGGTCCACGAAATAAATTGAAAAGATTTCTTCTCAAAAATAACGCTAAATTTCTCTTATGTTTGATATTCATTGGGGCTTCAGTATACGTGCTGGCAAACAATGATGTGAAATTATCCCTTGGCGATAAAGGACGTTTGAATGCTGGGCCAAGCGGAATTCACCAGAATTCTGCCAGACAACTGCATGAATCACCGCTAAAGCCCTTTTCATTGACTTCAAGCTCGAATCCTTCTACTATGATAGGCAATGAAAAGAATTCTGAATGTGATTTGCCGTGGTGGGATGGAGCTCTCGACAACTGCAGGGCAATTCAAGAAAAATTTATTGCTCAAAAAAGCAAAACACGAAGCTATTGCGGTAAGAGGGCGGACTTTGCTGGGCCCAGCCAAAAAGTTCTGTCCTACTGCGTGTACGGAAATTATTCGAAGTACGCATCGGGATTTCCCAGCATTTTAGACGCCATTAAGAGATTGTACCCGGGATGGCTGGTTCGGTTGTACACCGAACCTACGAAGTATGTCAACGAGCTAAAGCCCCTCATGCAACAGCACCCGCACTTGTACGTGTGCGACGTGAGCAACTTAGCGGGTGACATCCCCGACGTCCGCAGGACCGATTCCATGCTGTGGAGAGTAGCGGTCTTGGGTGACGAGACAGTCGACGTGTTCCTGGTTCGAGATATAGACGCAGAGGTGAGCTGGAGTTTGTTGTAGTGGTTTATTCACATTGGGATCATTCTCGAGTATCAAGTAGCTGCTTACAGTCTTCAATTCAAAGCGGCTTTTCTCCTTGACGAATGCCTTACGGTGTGTTTCCTTAGCTACCCTTATGCTTAACCCGATTCACAATGAATTTGCTAAATCTGTACGTAACTTGATATTTCTGACCATTTTCACGTCAAATTGTGTAGGCATTTGCCTTGTCTTTATTAATTCATTATTATAGCCAATAATCAAGCAGATATGTATTTGGTACTTCGAGGATCAATTTCAAGGATAACTTTCATATGCCAGTTCGTTGCAGATGTTCCGTGCATGAGTTCTTGAAGTCAGGAAAGATGCTGCACATAATGCGCGATGCTTCATCGCATGGCGTGCCGATTCTCGGGGGCAATTACGGTGTGAACCAGGCAGCCTGTGACCGCTCGCTACTGAATCGCATCCGCGGCCAAGTTCTTGGCAAACCCAAGAAATCGTACGATCAGTCCGTGCTGCAAGTGAGCAAAAAAAATCTGTTGTGATTTTAATCTATTGAGAAATTGTGGAAGACTAATGTGATTATTATGAGAGAAGCTTGTAATTATAATGTAATGTAATTAATCGAGAATCAAGTGTTGCTTACAGTCTTCCACGCCGCTTTTTTCCTCGACGAATGCTTTGCGGTGTGTTTCCCTATAGCTACCCTTGCGCGCTTAACGCGATTCACAATGATTCTGCTGAAGCTGTACATAACTTGACATTTATAAGCATTTTCACCTCAAATTGTGTAGGTATTGCGTTGTCCTTGGTAATTTTTTACGATAGTCAATAATTAATCAGATAAGTATTTATACTTCGAGGATCAATTTCAAGGATAACTTTCATATGCCAGTTCGTTGCAGATGTTAGACCGTGAAGTGGCAGCCGTGCATGAGTTCTTGAAGTCAGGAAAGATGCTGCACATAATGCGCGATACTTCATCGCATGGCGTGCCAATTCTCGGTGGCACTTACGGTGTGAACCAGGCAGCCTGTGACCGCTCGCTCCTAAATCGCATCCGCGGCCAAGTTCTTGACCAACCCAAGAAATCGTACGACCAGTCCGTGCTGCAAGTGAGCAAAAAAATCTGTTGTGATTTGAATCTATTAAGAAATTGTGGAAGACTAATGCAATAATTATCTCAGCGAGAAGCTTTTTCATTGTAAAAAGTTTTCATTTTATTAGTGGATAGAATATTGGGTCCACGTTTGTAGCATACTCTTACATTGCGTTCGTCACTGCCCAGAGAACGGTGTGCTGAATATGTGCGGTAATTTAGCGATTTTTGGGATACGCAATTTATTTATCGTGCAGGTAAATGCCATTCATTTCATGCAGAAGAACCCCAGTATATCAAAACTGTTCTTTGATTGACACTGCAGAGCTAGTATGATATCATCATCATAAATAGAACTGGAAACAATACTTATTTCATAACGCATCGTCTCCCACGGAAACACCTGAACCTGAAACCTTCACGTCCTTTTCTCTTTCAAATTTATATTGAATAATTACCATTTGCGCTTGATTTAAGTTGTTACACTTTTATAAAAAGCGTTTAATTATTATCCTGCACAGTATCATACAGGTTTAATAATTCATCTCGCGACGAGTTTTAATTGTTACGTCTATTGCTCCCCCAGACGTACCTATACCCCAAGCTGGTTCACAGCTCCATCGCCCACGATAGCTTCACCTGTCAAAACTTCCCCTCATCTGTGCCATTCCCAACCCAGAGAAAGGACGGCAAGTTTGTCGGCAACAGGAGGTGAGCTTCGTAAACCTGTTCGACCTGTTGTGTCATTCTGGTCTCTATTTGGAAGCGGATAGAAGCAACAAATGAAGGAAATTTCAGCATATACTGATAATTGACTCAATAATATGTATACATTGAGCGTCGGAATATTACTAATTTAATTTAAACTTCGCAGGTACAGAAGTGAATTCTCGGACGATATGGTTAAGATCGAGTGCCCTGTTAAATGCCTGTCTCTTATACACATCTAGATGTGTATAAGAGACAGGATGTTAACTGTAGGAGTTTTCTGGGGGGGTAGCCGGTCCCCTTAACATAGTCCGGACATTAAAAAGTAAAACCTTCAATGAATGCTTTCATTTTTTAACACATAAAGCATGCAAAAAATCCTTAAAGTTTTTTTTTGTATCAATTGGTCATTTATGTGTTTTATTATTGTAAAATAAATTAATTTTTTTTTTAAATATTTTTCCTTTTATTAGTGCTGCAATGTGGCTGCAGCGCAGAAATATAGAACTAATAACATGTTTGGCATGCAATTAAGAATATATCATATGTGCCGTTTGAATATTACTCCTAGAAATAGGAAATATGGACCCCTGATTTTCAGTCTGGGAAGTTTTCAATGTGTGGATATAAATATCGTTAAATGCTAGTGCGTCATCCTCATATTCAGTGCATTAATTTTTAGTGAAATTGCTTCAAATAGCTGACTAGAATATCGAATTTAACGACCTAACAATCATATATTGTTGAAAATTTAAAAGCAAATAAAATGCATCGTGAAGGTTTTGAATTAATTTAAGGTGAATTTACTTGGCTTCGTCTTTGATATTTTCCAGTAATTTGCGATTTAAGCAACTTAATGAAGTGAATAATAGACTAGTAGTACAAGTCCGATTTTATTTGTTTACTTTGATGCATTTTGTACTGAATTCGTATGCTGAACTTATAGCGTCCTAATTTAATTTTGATTGAATCAATACCATGAATCCAGCTTATGAACCAAGTCCAAAATTCCATGCACTTCGTTCGTTCGTTTAGTTTCAAATAGAAAATTGAGCATAAATTTCTACTACTGGTGGACCTCAAGCATCGTTGGTCGATATGGTCCACTTGAATAGAACAAAAATATGAGCCAGTGTTTATTATTCAGGTTTGTAAAAGTTGATAATGCACTTCGTGTGTATGAACATAAACTTTCATATTATGTCCAAAGGTTTGGTCGAAACACTTGTTCACAAGGTCGAAACACTTGTTCATCGCACCTGTGTGGGCAATCGATTACGTTCAAATGTTCAGTTCAATTTCAGGTGTTGGCAAACAAAGACCAGACGATGTCGAGTCCGCTGGCTCTGATATAAGTGAAGCGTTAGAGAGTTCGTTGTTCGTGTACAATCGTGCAAGAGACAAGGTCGAGTCGTGCAAGAGACACTGACACTAATATAAGTGAAGCGTTAGTGAGTTTATTGTTCGTGTATATTCATGCAAGAGACAAGGCATTTCTCATTATTATTACATTAATTTTGTCATGATCGGTTAAGTGCGCAGAAAAACCTTGGCGACTAAAGCATCATTTATCTGGTAAAACACATAACGTAGGAACTTAAGATCAGTTTAAGAAACAGTGTAACTTTTTTGATTGCTTGTAATTCATAAGCTTACTGATATGAGTGTGATGCCCTGATGTGATATAGAAGCCTACTGCCGTACGACAATATAGGCAAGAGAATGCGTAATATGTGCCGGAATTCTCATCATTCGCTAAAAACTTTATTGATAAAACTTATCAATCTCGGGCAAAAAAATATAATATGGTCTGCATAGATAATTATTTTTTATATGTGGATATTTGCGTGGCTTTCAGTGTCATATTGACATAATTGTTCTAAGGAATCGCCCCTTAAAAAATAATACGTAACTGGTCTGACTATTATTTCTACATGAAGTCGTTTTTGTGTTAGTAAAAAATGTAATCGCTCATAATCTAAAACTAGTAAATTGTTAGTCAGTAAAGTTTCTACAATAATACGTTTTAAGAGAAGACCGCAATTATAGCATTTCTACTGTACGAGATTAAACTCAAAGGTCGTTAATTCCATCGATTGTCAAAGGATCTCTAAAGTTTGCGTTCGTGGCTAATACTTTTTCCCAATTAACTCAAACAGATTTCTGGTTAGAAAATTTGAAACATATGTGAAAATTTTTGGCTGACATAGAAGACGTTACCTGCCCTAAAACTCTCGAAGTGTCATATTTATTTGACTATTTGTTGAAGCATTTCGAATGTTTACAATGAGACTCGAATTAGGTTCCGGATGAAAATAGCAGGTAATGCACCGCATTCTATTACTTCATTGATCCGTGACTAGGACTAAATGCGCTGGACAGCTGCAAATAACGCTGCTAATTTCATAATTGATCATGTATGAAGAATTGTGTCCTATTTCAGTAGATGAGCACTAACGTATTAAATGAGAGGATATTTGGTTGATCCTAAAATATCGTTTCTTTTAGAGTGGATCAGAGAACAGCTTCGCGGCATGAAGAATATTCAATGACACTCCAGCAATTTACGTCATTCAAGACAGACAGGAGTTATAATCACTGTCTACTCATCCAGGAAATCCATGATTGGTCTAGGAAGTTCACGAAGTCGAAAACTGGACATTGCAATTCAAAAGACAGCCGAAAAATTAATGGTACAACTGCGAAAATGTAACTGCACTAAAAAATTGAATTTTGGCATTGCAAAATTGCCCTGCATGAACGGAAGAATCTAAATTTATAAATCATATAATATTAAACCAATTTTTATTCCCGGATCATCGACAAAAACACATTCGCTTTCATAGTCAAATTCAGTGGCGGTAGATTTAGTCGTATGGGACGAGGAGAAAATGTTAGACAATAGTTTTCAAAAATAATATCAAAAATATAAATTGCTTTTTGAGCATAAGCTGCGTAAAATTTCTTTTAGGCGGTAAAGATTGCGATTACGGTTTCTAAAATTATGGCCGTTTTATTTTGATTTGTGTTGAGTTAGTTAGTCAAGCTGTAATGGACGTGGTTAATAAAAAACCTTCGAATATTATTCTCTGCGCTGCTGCATGCAGTGACTGAAATGATGACTTCCGTGGCATAGTGCAGTGGTCCAATTTCATGATGCCATTAATGTGAAGCTGTGATATTCCGTCGCAATTTTGTGTTAGCGTTATTAAACTTCTTTTTGATCTTCTGAGTCAATTTTGTTTGATAAATTAGGCAGCCATTTATGAAGGCAGTGCCCTAATTGCCGAGGCGTCTCGTGTCACAGCGTTGAATCTGTTAGTTATATTATCGGTGACTGTAATTCAGATGAGAGGAGGGTCTAGTTCTTAGCAGGTTGTGTGGGAACATTTCGGAACGTCATTCAGTATATGGTGGCAGATCATGTAGTATATGGTGGTTAATTTATTAAATTTATATAACACCGGTGAGTATGAGGGGTCCTCATTCAAACTCACGTTGCACATCTTCATGGTGGGCGTGGCAGCGGTTTACAAAAAAGTAGCGATGAGGCAGACGCATCAAAAAACAAGGTTCTATATGAAAGAAGTGATATTAATTCAATTTTCCTATAGCGGCGTGCACTCGCGTCTCCAAAACTACTAATCCAGGTTGGTAATTAGAATTCGAAACTAAGCATGTATAGACCCCACTCATTACAGGGTGATTGACATTTATTTAACTGCCCAGCAGGCATTTGCTGGTTATTGAATCGATGTTGAAACAAACGTAGCGATCGCGCTGAAAAGAGGTTTAGAATGAAAATTGGAGCAACATTATTCTTGAAACGTCGAACTGACGTTACAATGTAACGTATAATCAGTGTTGCTACTACGATGTTACTGCAACGTCAAATTCTCTGGTTGAATAAATTTCGAAGAACCAGCCTTTTACAACGTTGGGAGCGCGTTTAAAAAAGGTTCAATCATGTTGATGTATGACGGGATATCAGTATACATGTTCTATCGTGACAGTTACATTATGTGGGAATCTTATGACAGTGAGTTGAATTTAATTAGATATAGACACAATATTTGCAACCCATATTTATTCATTTAACTTCCTTTCTCCCCTGGTAGAACCATTCGACCGTAACAGGATTCAAACCCTAGATCGCTGCAGACCACGTGACGCCTTAGCCAACATGACCACGGTAGCTTGATTGCAAGGAAATAAAAAAAATTGTAACATTAATTTATACACAACAATTTAATCAGAAAGACCTTATGTGCCTAAACTTATAGATATCATTTATTTCTGCTATTCTTCAGAGAAGGGACAGTCAAACGTGTTTGTAGAGAATTTAAACAGGTTACGTGGACGAACTCATCGACGTTGTACGAGGTGTTTTTGTTCAAGCACTCTTCGCCCCCACCAATTAATACTTGAGTTTAGTTGTTATAAACAAAATTATTATTTAACTTATTGTGTTGGTCACATTTCGACCTTGATTTGACTTTTAATTTTGGTTGTTAGCATATCAACCTGTATTCAACATTGATTCAAAGTTTAAAAATAAATCAACGATCAACGCACCAATATAGACGTTCTTTCAACGTTTAAATGAAGTTGTTTACGTCTCTATTAATTGTGTTGGTAAGATTTCTTCGTTGATTCAACGTACCAATATCGACGTTACTTCAACGTTGAAATAAGGTAATTTTACGTCTTTTCTAGTGTTGGTCATACTTCGCCGTTGATATGACGTTTAATTTCGGTTGTGCAGCATTTCAACCTGAAATCAACCAATAATCAACGGTGTTTCAACGTCAGATACCTGCTGGATGATCTTTAGGAATAAAACTGCAAGGTTTAAGTAATCGAGAAAATGTACGGAAAGTGGAAAATGAATGGAAAGCTGGTGCAAATGATGATAATTCAATTTCCCATTTCCCATGAAGTTAATAAATTCAATCGCTGGAATGCTGGAAAAAATTGCAAGTGGCAAAAATCACTCGCTGCCGCAGTAAAGTTGATTGAAATCCCTCCGCTAGATTTACCTGCATTTAATAACAAAACATAGTGATCTAGTTCAAATTTCCGAGTGTATAATGATTTCTCAAGATGTATCAGAAGTTATTATTAGGGATATTAACAAAAAAGTCACATCTAAATTATTTAAAAAAAAGATTGATACCCCGATGGGTAAAATACTTCACGGTTGTTTATTTTTTGCGAGAAACTTACATAGAAATTGCATTGT